ATTTGAAAAGCCTCTTCAACTGATTGTGAAGTACATTAATGCATTCACATAAGAAAAATCCACATCCAGGTGTTTGTTAGCAAGAGATAAAAGAGCAAACGTTGGATTGTACTACTCAGTCCCCGTCAGATGAGCGCCCCGCCCGATCTGCAGAGAAACGTGGAAGGTTGGCGTTGATCAGATGATCAGATTGAGTTTATCGATGGCTTTGGTAACGCCTCAACTTTCAAACAGATCTCCTGATTCTTTGAAGCACGTACAGCGAGGAAGAGGCTGACAGGTGTGACGAGCTGCATAAAATGTCTGCCCTTCCTCCCACAATCCCCTGCATCGCTGTACAGAGCTGACCAATGTCATGTGGTGCCCTGTGTGATGTCACAGCAGTATAAAGGCCTCAATCGGCCGACCAGCTGCCCTGAGCAGAGTCAGCGTTCCCAGCCTGGACGCCTCGGCTGGAGGGACTGCTGTTACGAGGAAAACTACAAAACTACACGGCGGCGTAGGCCTGTAGTTTTGTTTTTTTCTTTGGGGTTCCTTTGAGGCTCAACTGTTCCCCTTTTGGATTTTCTGACTCCGTTTTCTGGATAAAGATTTTAGATTTCCTGCTGAGCGCCCAAATCTGGGCTTCCCAGGCATCCTTGTCCAGACAAGTAAGTGTCTTTAAAGTTTTTTAAACTGTTGTGATTAATGAGCTCCAACGGAGAACCAGACAAAGTGATCTTTTTGTATTTTTTTAGCTGAAGGTTAGAGCAGGGCATCCCAGAATAGCCGCTGAGAACACCAGATTGGATCCCAGCTGAGGGGCTGATGGCTTTTTAAGGGAATCAGCAGCAGGGCTATCAGTTGCCCCTCCAGATATGTGCCACATGGTGCCTGTCAATCAAACTGAGATGTGTTGGGTTGGAGGCGGTGATATTTTTAGTCGTTGGCTTTAGCGCCCAACCCCCGGGCACGAGTTGGGGTGGTGGTGACTGACTGCAGCAACACTTCAGGGAAGCTTTTATTTTGGAGCAGAGAATAGTCAACGCTGAGCCGAGTTTAGTTTTATTAAATGTATTTACAATAGATTTAATATCATTTAGTTAATATAATGTTTGAGCTTGTGTTTTATTTTTCACGTGGAGGTTCTTGCATTTGGCTCATTTACACTGTCATTGCTTTTAAGGTGTTTCCAGACGTGTCCTATAACGAAACAGCCCAAGAACATCGATTTGCAATTTTAAAAAGAACATAAAATCTGAGTTAAGTGTATATGTTGTTGCATTAAATATATTTACTTTGGAAAGTAATTTATTTTAACTGTTTATAAAAAGCATATAATATGAATACAAATGAATAAAGTTAAATAGAAAGCAGGACTCAGTTTTCACAGAAAACGTAATAATCCTAAGAATTATTAGCGAGTCATCTTATTTCTGCTTTTAAATAATAATAATTCATTGTTTACATTATTATTGCTGCTTTAAGTCTCATCATTACTTTATTAAATTTTGGATTTTAAAAGTGAGCAGCAAACGAACGTTTCAGTCCAAACCGTCTGAACTCTGGAGGAGTGAGAGTGTAACTAATGTGTTATAAACGCTCCCCTCGCTGGTCGGCTTTGCCTCGGGCTCAGTTTCTGAACCGTGACGTCATGTGCATCATTTCATCTGTTTATCATGCTGTTATTGTTCAGTAGCTCCCACATCATAACTGTTATGATATTATTACTCCACATGATATAAAGATGAGAACGTTTCTTAAGAGGTTTAAAAATGTTGAAAAACTCATGTTAATCATTTAAAAGTAAAAAATGTTT